TGAACACTGTGCCGACAATTGCCTCCAACAAATTCTCCCACCTTCACTCACCACCCATGATCACCGACAACCCATGATCACCAACAATCACTTTTAGCTAGCACTCCTCCTAGCAACTACTTTCAACCACTTCCCTTATTTTCAAATTAAGTTTTTTAATTAAAAATCAACATAAATATATTTAGCATCTTTTATAAGAAAAAAAATAATAAATTATCAACTCATGTTTTTCAAATTCTAAATGTAGTTTTCAGTAATGACCACAATTTTACAGGAACTATATCACACCGATATGTTGTTTGTTCTTTTGTTAATGAAGTGTTTTTATAATTGCTTTGACAAAATATATATATATATATATATATATCTAGAAAAATATTTAGTGGTGTGAATTTCTATGGTTTGAATAGCTCAAATGTATCAAAATGACGTCATTTTATCCCCAAAACAATATTGTTTTAACACATTTAAACCATTCGAATCATGAATTTTCGAGCAATCAAGCATTACTTACCCAAATAAACAATTCAAATGCAATTATTGTTGTTTCTGTCACTACCTTCACCTGTCAACACCTACACCACAATCGTTTTTGTTGACAATTATTGAATCATTATTAATTTGTGGGTCATCACTAACTTGACTACTACTAGTTTAAGTGATGACTAAAATTACCTTATTAACAATAAAAAGTCAATTTAACAAGTAATAAATTGGCTCACCTAATACAGCCTTCAGGGTTGATTCCACAACTATTTTCAAACACTTGAAAGGATTAATGGAATCAGCTTTCCATCACTCCACTAATTAAATTGGAGTGTTCACTTCATGAGGATTTAATTGATCTTGATTTCTCATTTGTGTAGTACTTTTCTAATAGATTATTTATGTAAAAAAATAGTTACAATTATATCATATTTGTCTTTAAAACATAGACTTTACATAATTTTGAGGATAAACTGTTTAATTTTTAAAAATTAATGTGACCAAATCATATGATTATCGATGTCCGGTCAATTTACATTTTTATACAAATAATTTACTTTGACACATACTATAAGATAATGATCCAACACACAAAGACTAGCTTGGAGTGGGCCCAAAAAGCTTTATATAATCAATCATACAATGAGTATGCAAGTAGGCTAGCAAAAATAATAGTATACCATTTGTTTTGATTTGGATAATGTTCGGACAAATTTTGGAGAAAAAAAAGTTTGTTTTGATTTGGATGGTGGTAGGACAAATTTGGAGAAAAAGCTTGATGGATTTGAAGCATGGCAAACTATTTTGGTCCCCAATTTCGCTTCATTAAACGACACTCTTCTTCAATTCATGTATAGTGAAGTATAATAACTCCCAGCTGTCCAAAATCATCAAATTGCCTTATGTTCTTGGATGTATTATACCATCCACCTATCAGCCTCCTAATGTTCATGTGATGTGAGGGCTCCATCCCCATTTTACTTTAGAAAATTTGTTTAGTGGTGATAAAATAAATTCACGTGCTACTCTTGACATTTATTAACTAAAATAATAAAATTTAATATTTTTTATTGAGTTTATATGAGATAAGTGTCACATGATAAATTATTATTCCAAAACTACCAGATAACCTTTTTTACTTCGAAGAAATAACATGTAAATAGAAGATAGCATATAAAATTACAGGACAGAGTAGCAATATTTATGGATGCAAGTTTCACCTATTTGTAAATAGTTTACATCCTTTATACTTAGGGTTGCAAATGAATTGAGCTGTTCGTGAATAAACTCGGCTCGGCTCGTTAAGAGCTCGGTTCGGGTTGGCTCGTTTAGTAAACGAGTAGAACTTGAGCTCGAATAAGGTTGGTTCGTTAAGTTCGATTCGTTTGTCTTTATTTAAATTATATAATAAATATATTATTGATATATTAAATAATATATAAATATATATAAATAATAGTAAAAATACATTATTTGTATATTAAATAATATTAAAAAAAATCTTATCGAGCCAAGCTAAGTTCAAAATTCAATATTAACAAACCAAGTCGAGCTCAAGCTCAGTTACTTATCGAGTTGGGCTCGAGTTTAATAAACGAACTTGATAAGCAAACGAGCCTAACTCAAACTCAGCCAAACTCGACTCGTTTGCACCACTATTTATACTTAAATAATATTCTCCCTTTTGCTTTTCAATAGAACCTTATATTGTATCAAATAAATCCAAATGGTGATATTGGAAATACAGGTATAACAACCACGATATGCCACTAATTTAAATAAAATTTTTAAAGGACCAACTCAACAAATTTGACATGTTTCTTGATCAATAAAAAAAAATAATTATGAGATGTGTAGAACCGATATAAATTTTCTTAATTTCATTCATTCTTTTTGTATAATCTTTTTAATTATTGCTAAAAGTATCATGTGAATAAGTCGTAACAATATTTCGAAATAACTAAATATAATTGAACCTAAACTTCTTGTTAATAGCATACCACAATATTGTTGAGACAAGACAATTCATCATAAAAGACAATTCATCAAAAAGGCTATAAATCCAATTCACACATTAGTAACCATTTATTTGCTTCTTAGTCAACTTTTCAACACAAAACCTACTCAAACCCTATTTGGCTTTTCTGCACTAATGCAAGATATTTTTCTTGATAAGTTCGGTCCTCGCCAACTCACAGATATATCAAAGCTACTAGCCTCTCTCCATAGTTCAACCTTACATAACCACTTACAAATATATGTGCACCAATTTTTGTATGCTACTTGATTTGTTAAAAATTTAGCAATACATTCAAGGTGTGGTCTATTAATTATTACATCTAAAATTTGATATCTAAATTTAACTATCATCATATTATTCAACAGTACTACTAACTTCACAAAAATAAAACACAAGAAGTGCACATAAAATGAATTATGTGAATGAAATTTATTTTAAGTGTGACACCTAAAATAAATTTAATAACATAATATACTTTTTGTGTACTTTTTTGTATGTTAATTTTGAGTACATAGTATTATCGTAATATTATTGACTACAAAATCATGAATTAGTTATCCTACCCAAAGAAACAAAAACAAAAACAAAAACAAAAAAAAGTTGGCCACACTCGCAAGTATGCAGGTAGGGCCACAAGAAATGCTTGTGTCACTGTCTATGTAAGCGTTAAACATTTTGTCAATTTTTTGTTTCTTTCCATTATTTCCCAAAATGAAAACTTCTCCAATGGTTGAATACAAATCCTGTCATTGGCATCAAACACAGGATTTATTTCTTCAATTGTCAATTTAAAAAAGCCTTGTCAAATTTAACAGTTAAATTTTAGCAAAACATTTTCTCGTGGCCCATAAATGACAATTTTTATTTGATTTTTCAATAAAAAAAAAAATAGAAGAAGTGACATTTACAACATTGAAACAATATTACATAATAAAAAAAAGGAAGGTGACATTAACCAATAAATCTCATATCGTCATCTTATGACCCGGTTAATCCTATTTAAATTCTTATTATAACCCATTTGAAAACAAAAATTTTGTACAGTAAATTCTACTAAAATAATGTGTCGATAATAATTTCGAAATAATTCTGAAAAAAATAAATATAAATTAACATATTTTTATTTATTTATAAACTTTAAGTATTGTTTTAATATTTGTTTATAGTTACTTTTACTAAAAATGCAAACCATTAAAAATGCTGTGATTATATGTAAAAATTGTGCGGGTGAGCACCAGCAGAGGGAATCTCTTTGACCTTTCAGCCAGAGACATTAAACATCAATCATCTATCGTTCCCATATATTTTCTGATATAACGATTACAAAATTTTCTAGAGGTGGGTTCGAGTGGAGAGGAGTGGTGTGGAGTTTAAACCACACAACTCATGGCTTTGTGGAGGAAGAATCTCCTCTATTGATATGATACCATCATAATAACCACCATTCCCCAATAGGAGAATGATACAAGAAAAAAAAAAAAGAAATAATTTTATAGGTCAATATATATGTCTGTCTGTCAAGCCAGGTCTGCTCACTGAGCTTAGACAGTGATAATTTTGTTGAAATAATGCCAATAAATTATTGCACAGTATACATATGATGAATTCTTTATAAAGTATCTTTTGCAAAGTTCTTTCAACCTAGTACATAAAACCAATTTTAATTATTGCTACTCTTTTAAGTGTTTTATTTTTATTTATTTATTTATTTTTAAATATTACAATGAAGTGCAATGAAATTCAGTCATCAAATATAATATATAATTAATATCTGTCAAGCCAGGTCTGCTCACTGAGCTTTGACAGTGATAATTTTGTTGAAAATAATCCAATAAATTATTGCACAGTATACATATGACAAAAGTATCTTTTGCAAAGTTCTTTCAACCTAGTACATAAAACCAATTTTAATTATTGCTACTCTTTTAAGTGTTTTATTTTTATTTATTTATTTATTTTTAAATATTACAATGAAGTGCAATGAAATTCAGTCATCAAATATAATATATAATTAATATAAAAAAAATTCTCAAAATGGGAGAAACCAATTCTAAACAAATACATGAAAAATAAAGATATTCGAACTACTTACCTCGTGATAAAGTAAATTTGTTTTAACTAATCAATTAATCATATTTGGTTCTTTAAGACCATGTTTGATTGCAAGATGAGATTGATTGGGATTATGAGTAGGTAAGATGTGATGAAATTACTAATTGTAATACTATGTTGGAGATACAAGGTATCGTGTACTCGTTTGTACACTATTATTGTGGTATTAATTATTTAAGATTAAATATTTAAAATTATGTAAAAATCCTTAGTATATAAAATATGACAGTTATTTTATAAAATGAGGGTAAAGTAGTATTTAACCGTCTAATCCAATGAATTGGATTGTGAATGCCAACCCTTAGGAGATACTGATCCTATCCGGCAATGAAACAAAACCTCAGGTCGTTTTTGAGTTTTTAGGAGTGGATTGGGATTGAATACAGGGACAAAGGTCAATAAAAGCAGCACAAATTGGCATTGACCAATTAACTTTCGAGGTTTTAATCATCATAAATAGAAATAGAAATAGAATAGGATAAGAGTGTATTTACTTTAACTAGTTAGCTAGCTCCTCTATTTAACCAACGAGTTTGAGCAAGGTGAGACCACTCAAGCATATATACATATATCATATTTGTTTTTGCTCTTCCTTATTTATACTTTTACTATCAATTTAGATATGTTGGAACTTTTGTAATACGCCTTGAAGCAGTTGAATTCTTTCATTACTCGATACAGATAACATAACAATATCAGTAGGAGCCATGAACACGGAATCAGAACCAAATGAGAAGAGAGAGATAGAGAAGGTGGACAATACGGAAGCAGTAGTCGATGAAATTGATGATGTTTCGAAGAGAATCCCACCATGGACGAAGCAGGTAACAGTGAGGGGAGTCATTGCTAGCATTGTGATTGGTTGCGTTTATAGCGTCATAGCCATGAAACTGAACCTCACAACTGGGCTTACCCCTCACCTGAACGTCTCTGCCGCCCTCCTCGCCTTCATATTCATGCGAGCTTGGACTAAGCTCCTTGGAAAGGCCGGGATTGTCTCAACTCCGTTCACTCGCCAAGAGAATACTATGATTCAGACATGTTCAGTTGCTTGTTACACCATTGCTGTTGGAGGTTAGTTTTGGAGGCCTTGCATCTTTGCAATTTCAACCTTTTGGTTTTCCTAAGTAATTTTTTCTTTTTCTTTTTTGGTAATCGGTTCAGGCGGGTTTGGGTCATATCTATTGGCATTAAACAAGAAAACATATGAGCAGACGGGGGTTAACACTGTAGGGAATTCTCCGGGGAGTTACAAGGAGCCCGGATTTGGTTGGATGACGGGATTCCTTTTCGTTGTTTGTTTCATTGGTCTTTTTGTTTTGATTCCTCTCAGAAAGGTATGCATATGATGCTTATTTCTTTTTTGTTACCTTATAATACTTCAATAATCCGATTCTTTGTTTAAAAGATTTGACCAGATTTCCATTACTTACCAATGACTTGTTTTTATTGGTATGTTTTTTTTAGTCTGTGCAAATATATTTCATGCAAAGGCTTCAGAGCAAATTTAAAATTACTTGGTAATTTGTGACACGATACGATAACATGATTTGAACCTTACACGAAATTAGCCGGTCCACCCCTTTCATCACAAACTAGTTGTTTGTTCTTCATAATATAAATCCACGAAGATATGTTTGAACATATAAATAGCTGCTTATTGATCACTGAAGTGAGATTAAGCAATCATATTTTTTTTCCCGAGAAGTGCCGCACATACAAAAATACTATACGGAAATATATGGCTAACTGTTTTCCTTTCATTTAAAATCATAAGGCCCATCATATTATCGAAATTAATTTACAATTATGCTATTGCCATATCATTTTGAAAGCTAATTTGTATGAAAATTCTAGTGATATATATGGCTCAACATGGAATTTTCACTTTAAACAAAACACTCATGAAATTTCACAAAAATTACATTAACATATCATTATTGTAATGTTTTTTTGTATGAATTTAAGAATGAAGAGAGTTTCCCAAACAATACAAACACAAGACTCAAATTTTTCCAAAAAAATTGTCGAAAATTAATGTTGTGTGGAAAGCACTGCATTCATTTTGGATGAATGAAACACATCATTCTAAACACTTTGTGATTTTTTTTTTTGGGTTTTTGTCAATTGCTATAAGTTGACTTAGCTGGATTGGTCCACAGATCTTGATAGTGGACTACAAATTGACGTTTCCAAGCGGGATGGCGACTGCTGTTCTCATTAATGGATTTCATAATCAGGGAGAGAAGATGGCTAGGTAACTTTAATTAAATAATTTCTTTATATTCTTTTTAATGATTATGACAATTTTTTCTTTTTATAAAAAAATAAAGAAAAGAAAAAAAAAGAGCAGAGTGCTAAAAACAGAAGAGTTGAATCATGAATTTGGTTGCAGAAAGCAAGTACGTGGGTTCATGAAGGTTTTCTCACTGAGTTTCTTGTGGGGTTTTTTCCAATGGTTCTACTCCGGAAAAGACATCTGTGGCTTCGCACAGTTCCCTACTTTTGGATTGCGAGCATGGAAGAATACGTATGCATATATATATATTCATTGATATCATAATCTACTATTCCTCCTATATATATATATATTATGCATGTGTCTCTTTTGTGCTGATGCCATCTGATTTGTTATTTGATCATTGATTATCAACAATTAATTTTGGAGTGTTTGTTTGTTGTTTTTGCGTTTTTTGGGGGTTAGATTCTACTTTGATTTTAGCATGACGTACGTGGGAACAGGAATGATATGTCCACACATAGTGAACTTGTCAACACTGCTTGGAGCAGTGCTTTCATGGGGTGTCATGTGGCCACTTCTTGCTAACTTTAAAGGACTCTGGTTCCCTTCTACTATTCCCGAATCCAGCATGAAAAGCTTGAATGGCTACAAGGTATATATATATATATATATATAACTCACCCAACCCAACCCCAATTCCTCATAATAATGATTATTTGAATTTATTATTTGAAAAGCTTTTCTGTTTGTTTTTCTTTCTTTGTATTTTGCATCTCACCATTCTTGAGTTGGGTGTTATGTGGATTCATGAAATATTTATGATTTCTTTGGCAGGTCTTTCTCTCTATAGCTCTGCTCCTAGGTGATGGAATCTACAATTTCATCAAGGTTATTTGTATTACATTCTTAAGTATCCATGGCAGATTGAAACAAAAGAACCTCAAATCAGGTAAAAAACCATATGGCCCTCCAGAAGTGAATCTCAAGTGAAATTGAATTAGTATGATAGATCAAACCTTACGAAGTGAAGTAAGCTCATACCATCAAACCAAAGCTTGCTCAATTGTTTGAATTTTGGTTTGACAACATATACGTATGTTTTGTGGCTGCAGCTGCGGAAGAAGAAAGCAGTGTCAAGTCCCTTGACATTCTGAAACAAAATGAAGTCTTCATTAGAGAAAGCATTCCCTTGTGGGTAGGAGCCAGTGGATACATTCTCTTCACCGTCATCTCAGTAATCGTTATTCCTTTCATATTCCCTGAGGTTAAATGGTACTATGTCATCATGTCCTACCTTTTGGCTCCATCTTTAGCCTTCTGCAATGCTTATGGAGCCGGTCTAACTGATATCAACATGAGCTACAATTACGGTAAGGTGGGTCTCTTTGCACTAGCTGCGTTGGCCGGGAAACAACATGGTGTTGTGGCAGGGCTTGCCGGGTGTGGACTCATGAAATCTGTCATTTCTGTTTCCTGCATTCTGATGCAAGATTTGAAAACAGGGCATCTAACTCTGACATCCCCACGGACAATGTTGGTGAGCCAGGCCATTGGCACTGCCATTGGCTGCGTGGTATCTCCTCTCTGCTTCTTACTGTTCTACAAGGCTTTTGACGTGGGCAACCCAAACGGTGAATACAAGGCTCCTTATGCTGTAATCTATAGAAACATCGCGATTCTAGGAGTTCAAGGATTCTCGGCTTTGCCTTACCATTGCTTGCAACTCTGCTATGGCTTCTTCGCATTCGCAGTAGGGATCAACCTAGTGAAGGACTTTTCCCCTCCGAGGATTGGGAAATGGATGCCTCTACCAATGGCTATGGCTGTGCCCTTTTTGGTTGGTGCCTACTTCTCTATTGATATGTGTGTGGGAACTCTGATTGTGTTTGTGTGGCACAAACTTAACCCTAAGAAGGCTGAGTTGATGGTTCCAGTAGTTGCCTCTGGTTTGATATGCGGCGAAGGTCTCTGGACACTTCCTGCATCAATTCTTTCTTTGGCCGGAGTAAATCCTCCAATGTGCATGAAATTCTTGGCTTCATAGACAAACCCTCCATGTTAATGGAAATTAGAAGAATCCTGTAATTTACAAGAACTCCTACCATTGCAATGTCCAATTTGTAATGGAAACTTCTTTTTTGTTGTTGCTGAGATAATTAGGCTTTTTAGACATTAGGGAGGTAATATGTTAACTAGTCTATTTTGTCATTCAGTTCGATTTCATAGACAAGCAATGCCACAATACATAAATATTAACAAATTACGAAAACATTACATACTCGTAACAATATTTTGAAATTCAAAATGAAATGTAATAACAACACCATCACTAAATGCAATCAACAGAGAACATACCTATCCAATCTAGAAAGATTTGCATCCATAAAACTTGCATCAACCTCAACATTATGCTTGTTCAAATAATTGCCCCTATCAAAAAAAAAAACAAAAGACGAAGAAGAAGAAGAAGAAGAAGAAGAAGAAGAAGAAGAAGAAGAAGAAGAAGAAGAAGAAGAAGAAAAGTCTCAAATGCTCATCAAGATGGAAGCTAAGAAAGAACAAACAAATTAAATGAGAAGGAGGTTGAATGTTTGCATTGACAAGTAAAACGACAACAAAATGGATTCCACATATCTTCTTCAATCAAAACTACTTTACGTTTATCGAAATTTCTACACAGCTTCACACGCTGTAGACTCAATTGATAAAGTAGTCCAACCTAATGGAAAAACAAATTCAAATAATTCAGGTTTTGCTGTGTTTATCCTAAAAATGGAGGGAAAAATACTAGAGACAAAAGATATAGCTACACATTACATGATACATATATAAAGGAGTTGAAGGAATAAAAAAGTAGAATTAATACAATCAGGGAACTTCCACATCATATTCCTCTCCATATCATATGGGTGGCTACATGTAAATGTAACGTATAGACAAACACTAGTCTCTTCATTGAGGTAACCGCTGGCATAGAGCAAACACATTTTACGGGCACCATCACCACTAGTGTTATCATCTCAACAAAATCGATGAGAAAGCTCTGGAAATTAACTTCATCCTGGCGATGACCGTCCGTCTAAATTTTCTCAGCAAGGAAGGGTAACCAAACCACCTTAGGATAGGATTTGACATTCATCTTGGGACAATTCTCTTATCAATCAATGCTGCATATGCCTATTATTAATTTATGAGGACGAAACTATTAGCTTTTGATAAAACTCTCTTTAGAATGAACTATATTTTTATATTGAATTTTTATCACTTATTGATTCATATATATTGCCCATAGGCTTACATCCTTTTATATAGAGAAGGTTATACATAAGTTCTATGAATAAGATCCATGAACCTAAACAACCTTGTAATTAATTAGGTACATGAATATAATCTAGACAATGTACTTAATAAATATAAAATACATGAATATAAAAATACATGAATACAAAGAATGTATGAACTCAATGTATCCAATGTATCTAATGTAAATATGGCATTAATTTTAACACTCCCCTTTAATGCCATATTGTGTGACACCCAACATTTCTCTAAAAAATTAAAATTTGTCCCTTGAGAGAGCTTTGGTGAAGATGTCCACAACTTGATCTTCAGTCTTGCGATACTTGATTTGAATCTCATCATCTTCCACAGCTTCTCTAATGAAATGATGTTTGATAGCAATGTGTTTGGTACGAGAATGGTAGACAGGATTCTTTGCCATAGCAATAGCAGACTTATTATCACACATAATTGGAGTAGCTTCACCTTGCTTCTCACCAAAATCATCCAAAATTCTTCTTAGCCAAATTGCTTGTGTAATTGCCAATGATGCTGAAATATATTCGGCTTTAGCAGATGATTGTGCCACAGTTTGTTGTTTCTTGGATAACCATGAAATTACACCCGATCCAAGAGAAAATGCATACCCAGAAGTGCTTCACATATCATCAACACATCCGGCCCAATCACTATCACAAAATCCAATTAACTTTGCATCAAGAAATTTCTCATAAAAAATTCCATAATCAAGTGTACCTTGAATGTATCTCAACACTCTTTTTGCAACCCCAAAATGAATTTGTCTTGGACTGTGCATGAACCGAGACAATAAACTTGTAGCATACATGATGTCCGGTCTTGTAGCAGTTAAGTACAACAAACTTCCAACCAAACTTCTATAACAAGATGCTTTAGCTTCTTTGCTTCCATTTTCCTTTGACAACTTTTCATTCACAATCAAGGGAGTAGCAACTGCTTTGCAATTCTTCATTTTAAATTTCTCAAGAAGTGTTTGAGCATACTTTTTTTGGCAAATAAAAACACCACCATTGTTTTGGTGGATTTCAATGCCTAAAAAATGATGCAATAGCCCCAAATCACTCATTTCATATTTCTTCATCATCTCCTTTTTAAAATCTCCAATCAAGTTTTCATCACTACCGGTAAAAACCAAATCATCAACATAAAGTGAAACAATGAGAATACCGGTTGTACCTTGCCTCTTGATGTACAAAGTTGGCTCACTTTTGCTTCTTTGAAAACCCTTTTCATTGAAGTAAACATCAATTTCACTATACCATGCCCGGGGTGCTTGCTTTAGGCCATATAAAGCCTTCTTCAACTTGTACACTTTGTCTTCTTTGCTTTTGATAACAAAGCCTTGAGGTTGATCAACATACACTTCTTCTTCTAATTTCCCATTCAAAAATGCTGACTTTACATCAAGTTGGTGCAAAAACCAACCCTTTTGAGCTGCCAAAGCAATGATAGCTCTAATTGTATCAAGTCGAGCCACAGGAGCAAAAGTTTCTTGGAAATCAATTCCAGGTTGTTGTGAATACCCTTTTGCCACAAGTCTTGCTTTTTTCTTTTGAATAGAGCCATCCGGATTGAACTTTGTTTTGAAAATCCACTTCACACCAATTATTTCTTTTTCTTTCGGTTTCTTCACTAACTCCTAAGTCTTGTTCTTCTCAATCACATGAATTTCATCTTCCATTGCTTTCTTCCATGCTTCATCTTTAATTGCCTCTTAAAAATTTTCAGGTTCAACAATGCATAAATTGCATCTTGCATACACATCACTAAGACTCCTAATATTTCTTGAAGTTGAACTTGGAGATGAAGAACTTGAACTTGAACTTGAACTTGGAGAAGATTGTAAACTAGCAATTGGGGACCCTCTTTGTGGAGATTCAAGAGTTGCAACATCTTCAACTTGTAGACTTTCCGATTCTTCATTGAAAGCAATGCTTTGATCTTGGACTTTCTTTTCCTTCCAATCAAAAGACGCCTTCTCATCAAAGAGAACATCTCTACAAATAATCACCTTCTTTTGATCCAAACTGAAGAGTCTATAGCCTATGAATTTCATCTTCCATGCTTCATCTTTAATTGCCTCTTCAAAATTTTCAGGTTCAACAATGCATAAATTGCATCTTGCATACACATCACTAAGACTCCTAATATTTCTTGAAGTTGAACTTGGAGATGAAGAACTTGAACTTGAACTTGAACTTGGAGAAGATTGTGAACTAGCAATTGGTGACAATCTTTGTGGAGATTCAAGAGTTGCAACATCTTCAACTTGTTGACTTTCCGATTCTTCATTGAAAGTAATGCTTTGATCTTGGACTTTCTTTTCCTTCCAATCAAAAGACGCCTTCTCATCAAAGAGAACATCTCTACAAATAATCACCTTCTTTTGATCCAAACTGAAGAGTCTATAGCCTTTGGATTTTGAGCTATAACCCACAAAGATGCATTTCTTACTATTTTCATCAAGCTTGTGCCTCACTTCTTTTGGAACATGAGCATAACAAATGGAACCAAACACCTTCAAGTGATTCACCGATGGTTTCCTTCCACTCCAAGCTTCAAATGGAGTTTTGTCCTTAAGAACTTTTGTAGGACATCTATTCATCAAGTAAACTACTGTATACACGGCCTCACTCCAAAAAGTTTTGGGTAGCCCCTTCTCATGTAGCATAGACTTGGACATCTCCTCTATGGTTTTATTCTTTCTTTCCGCCACACCATTTTGTTGTGGAGTTTCATCTTTAAATTTTCAAAATCTCTTTTCAATGACTGAAGTTTGATGGTTCTTACCTTCAAGTTGCCTCTATACTCTTTCTGAAGAATATCTCATGCCTCCTTCGCTTTTGTTGCGTTGATAATTCTTGGAAAGATTGCTTCTGAAACTCCTTGTTGAATAAAAGAGAGAGCCTTTGAATCCTTCTTCCTTTGCTCTTTTAATTGGTTCTTTTGGGATTTGTCAAAGCTTCTTCATCTTCAGGTTCCTCGAACCCATTCTCAACAAGATCCCAAAGCTCCGTATAGACAAAAATAGTTCTCATTTTCACATACCAAAAATCAAAATTTTCACCATTAAAGATAGGAGTGGATACATTTTGGTTGATGGGATTCGCCATGGACGTCGGTTTGTTCTTCTTCGGGGCTTGTTTTCCCATATCCGATCTCTACGCCCAGCTTGCTCTTGACCCAACCAAAGCTCTGATACCACTTATGTTAGCTTTTGATAAAACTCTCTTTAGAATGAACTATATTTTGTATTGAATTTTTATCACTTATTGATTCATACATATTGCCCATAGGCTTACATCCTTTTATATAGAGAAGGTTATACATAAGTTCTATGAATAAGATCCATGAACCTAAACAACCTTGTAATTAATTAGGTACGTGAATATAATCTAGACAATGTACCTAATAAATATAAAATACATGAATATAAAAATACATAAATACAAAGAATGTATGAACTCAATGTATCAAATGCATGCAATGTATCCAATGTATCTAATGTAAATATGGCATTAATTTTAACAAAAACCCTCTCTCTCTCTCTCTCTCTTCCCATAATTTACTTATATTTACACGCCAATGCCATATTCGACCATCCATCTGCATATAAAATAAATAATACTCTGCAATCATCATCCTTCTTCTTCCTCCACATCTTCAAAATCTCTCTCTCTCTCTCTCTCTCTCTCTCTCTCTCTCTCAGGTAGAGTAGAGGTCGTTCAGAATCGATCAACTGGCGGAGATTCTTGAGAGAGTTCAAAATGTGATTGATTTTAGCTAAGAATTAAAAAAGTTATCAAAAAAATTAAAAAGTCGACAATTTATACAAAAAAGTCAAAGATTTCATTCTCTCTACTTTTTGCGGGAGCTTTTATTTACACACACCAAACCCACTCTATGCACACACTTAATGAAGAGGATGTGCAAAAAGTGTAGTGAGGAGGGTGTGCAAAAAGTGTATATTGTGTGTGCAAATAGAAGCTCCCACTTTTTGCATATCGTTTTCTAGAAAATCAAAGATTAATTACCAAAAAATCCTATCTACATATTTGGTGGTAGCTTAGCTCCTGTCAAAAAGTTTTTGAACCATAGTCTCATTTATAGGTAAAAAGACGTTTTGTCCTTTAATCCCAAAATTAAGAATGTTCTCAATTTTAAAACTGAGAATGTTTTCAATTTATAATTATCAAAACTATGAAATTTATCAATTTTTTTCTAGTATAAACTAAGAATATTATCAAAACTAAGAAATTTATAATTATCAATTTTGAGAAATTTCTCAATTTTTTTCATGATTAAAATTGAGAATATTATAAACTGCGAAAGTTCTCAATTTCAAAAAATCCTAACGCTATGTTTGGGAACCTAGGAGGGAAAAGAAAAGAAATGATTACTTAAGTAATAAGAGAAAAGAAAAGAAAAGAAATGATTGTAATTTCTCTCCTTCTTGTTTGGATAAGTAAAAAATAAAAGAAAAGAAATGATTGTGATTTCTCTCATTCTTGTTTGGTTAGATTTCATAAGAGAAAAGAAAAGAAACCGTTTTATGTTATATTACTAAAATAACCTTTTTATATTTTGTCACTATATAAGAGCATCTCTAATCTACACTTTTTTTTTTCTTTTTCTTTTTTTTTTCCATTCAATTTTGAGAAAAAAAATTCATATTTTTTCATAGGTGCATGACTCTAATGATATCATGACTTTGCATTCAACTTTAGTAATAACACATATATAATCAACATAACTATTTTCTATCAGGTGTTGTTCCTTACACAAATAATTCATCGTTTGACCACTATAGGACAATCAAACTTTTATTGGAATTTAAAAGGCATGGTAAAGTAACAATATAACACCAAACTTTAATTGGAGTATCAATGGGCGACCTAAGGTTGCAAGATCTGGAAGCACCAGTTTTAACTCTATATTTAAATTTATTTATTTATTTATTTTTTATGTGATTGTTATAATTTTAACTGGATCTAAGCAGCATCATAGACATATAATTCAACGCAAAGGAGAATTTTTAACAATGAAGATGTCATGGGTAGGAGTGAGAGTGTATTAGGTAATCTTCCAAAAGTAAGAATTAAAACCTAAGAATCATCCACAACATCTTTAGACCAATCAAGCAAATAGTATGAAATTGAGTAAAAAAAAATGAGTATTAATGAAAGGAATTCATCATCCACAAAAGATCCCAAAAGAGTTAAAATCATCCACAAAAGATCTACAATAAGTTCAAAGTCATCCACAAAAGACACCACATCCTAAATGGAGTCAAGTACAACATACGATAGACATCTCTAATATCCCCTTCAAAGAAAGTACAATCACATCCATAGAAGAGTTACCAACGCTATCATCCACAAAAGATCCAAAAAGAGTTAAAATCATCCACAAAAAATCCAAAATAAGTTCAAAGTCATCCACAAAAGACACCACATCCTAAATGGAGTCAAGTATAAAATACGATAGACATCTCTAATGTTCCCTTCAAATAAAGTACGATCCCATCTATTGAAGAGTTACCAACGATTCTCAGGGTCATACATCATGCTTTCTAAAGTTTCCTTGCGATACTCTACTGGGCAACCAAAGAATTGCATCATCCTCTCAGATTTCTTGGTAAGAAAAATGTATGCCTCAGTAAACAAGTGTGGCGCAATTCCAATTTCCTCTAATGCTTTATGCAACTTTCCTCTTGGAAAACATCCTTGAGATTTCTCCACAGAAGCATTTCCCTCTCTTATAGCTGATGTGATATTCTGCAATGCTGTCTTCAGTATTTCAACGTCCCTCTTACCATCATTTGAGAGCTTTCTTTTCTTTGCCTTCGAAGATGTTCCACTTTTAGAAGACAACACAACATCATCTTCATCCACAACAAAACTTTCCAAGTTTGCTTCATTTTGGTGCACCAGTTCATCAATGACTTCAATTTTATCTACATGATCATTATTTGATGAGTTGGCCCATCGTCGTACTTTTTCCTTAGCAGTTTCAGCACCTACACCAGTTGCCCTATCCTTTCCATAGATCTCAGCCAACTTTTCATAGTTGCCAATGGGTGTACATTTCCATTTCTCAGCATGTGGTTTCACCTTTTACCAAAATAAAAAAATTAAAAAAAATAAAAATAGAAAAGTTACAATTAAATATAAGTTATGTTTTTCTATTCTTTTTTTAAAAAATCAACATAAACTGAAATTAATTGAAGTACCTCAATCAATGCCTCCCAAACTTCAGGTTCAGTAGTGAACATCCTTGTAACCGGGCTCCAAGCAAAACCACTAGTATGTTTGAATGAATCATAGCACTCAGCAAAATGCTCTTTGATAGTTTTCAGCCTATTCTTGACTTTGGCCTTATCTAAGTCCAAGTTGTACATCTCACGTAATTCCTTTACTATTTTATCATATGCTGAAGTAGTGAAAGTTCCATTGACCCTATTTCCTTCAACATGTTGGTGATACAATGCATCAATCAATGCATCATCCATTTGATTTGTCCATGAAAGTTTTTCTCTCTTAGAATCTTCAGACTTCTGTGTTTTTTTACTCATTTATAAAATCTACATCAAAATAAATTCAAAGTAACATCATAAACTATAATAATGTCATCATAATAGCAAAGTTATGGATACATCCGAATCTACAACAAAATAAATTCAAAGTAATATCATAAACCACAATAATGTCATGCATAATAGCAAAGTTATGGATACATCCGAATCTATAACAAAACAAATTCAAAGTAACATCATAAATCACAATAATGTCATCACAGTAGCAAAGTTATGGATACATCTTATCCGATGTTCAAGTACTTATCACATAAAATCAAGATGGCTACCAAACATGTAAAAACTAAAATATCACTCTTGATTAGCAACATAATCAGACCACATTGTAGCTGCTATCACATTTCTAATGAGTTTCTCCTGTTTTGCATCCTCATCAGTATCCCTTGGTGCACGAGTCGTTTGTTGAGTTTGACATTGATTTTCAAGCTCTTTGTCTACTTCAGCAATAATGTTTTCATCTGGATCAACACCCATTAAAAAGTTATGTAAGATGCAACATGCTATTACGATAGTTGATTGTGTGTTAACCGAGTAAGTAGGCTCAGCTGTGCTTGCTATGATGGGAAATCGTTTCTTTAGCATACCAAAAGCTCTCTCAATGGCATTGCGTAAAGAAGCATGTCGATGGTTAAACAACTCTCGAGCATTTTCCGGTGGATGGTTGGAATACTCTTTCAAGTGATAACGCACACCTCTGTAAGGAGGGATAAGGGAACTCCTTAACATATACCCCGCATCAACAAGATAAAATTTGCCTATTTAAAACAAAACACATCACTATGTTAAACCCCAAATCTGTATAATTTAACGAAAGTTTCATGTTCTCTAAGCATGAATTACCGTTGGGTATTTTCAGTTTATCGTGTCTAGTGAGTGCATTTTTTATGATCCTTGAGTCAGATGCAGTCCCTTCCCATCCAGGTAAAACATAAGTGAATTTTAAGTCAAATGAACATGCAGCCAATACATTTTGTGTAGGGTAACCTTTTCTACCACGATATCTCGGCGCATCCTTGCTAGATACTTTAACACAAATTCCATCAAGTGCTCCAATACAATCCTAACATAAAAGTATCATGTGACGGTTTTATATATAAATAATACTAAAAATTTAAAGCGAAATGTAATATCGAATTTTTACCTTAAAATATGGATGAAACCTATTATTGTTGAGTATTTCTGGAGGGACTTCGGATCCATTAGGTTGGCAAAGAAATCGATCTTCTAATGATATAAGAGCTCTTAAAAAACTATGAAAATGCCGACTTACAGTCTCACCGAAGTGACGAAAGAAAAATGAAGCATTTCTATTCTTTACGCTATGTGACAAAATGTAAAGACACTTTGCAACTTGTTCCTCAACTGTTACACGTTTTGTTGGTTTCAGACCACCATCTCTTTCAAGTATATGACACAAATCTTGAAATGCCTGCGGCCCCATACGGGTGATATTACGACAATACTTAATACATTTAAGTTTTGTCATTAGCTCAATCCTCACTTTTTCTCTCTCCAAGTAATTAATAGGATGGTTCACGTACTTCCTAAGATGATATTTTCTCTGCATATACCAATATACCACATGGCAAACAACTTGAACAACAGCTAACTTTCGCCTTCTATCCCACATAATCAAGTCCTTTCTTAGCTCTTTGTTTTGCTGATCCATTTATCCTATATTTTTTATTAAAATAAATCAGTATACATTTTGACTAAAAGCAATAAATTTTTTCTTAGCTCTTTGTATACATCTTGTTGATCCATAATCGTTAGGAATAATTTTTTCCATTTCAACATTGATTTCAAATGAATAAAGGAAAATAATTAAAATATTTAAAATGTCTTTCCTAATGTGTTATAAATCAATCATATAATGGCCAAATCAAGAATTTTAAATTGTAAATTAAAAGTGGCATGCTTTGAAAGTTTTAGTGCACTACAAGTTGATGGGCATGCATAATTTTATAATCTTAATACTTGGGGGGAAAAAAAAAAGAACATTCATACTATTCATAAACTATGTCTTATTAAGCAATTGACATGGGTGCAGGGTGCCAATCACAATGTAGAGAACAACACTATTATTTAACTAGCAAAGAAAGTGAGCATTTAAGCCATGGCAATTTATTCCTCCCTTCTCATTCTAATTATATTTATTAAATATATTTATTTATATATAAAATATATATAATTTAATATTTTAATATAATAAAATTAAAATGTTAAAATTTTACACTTAACATTTATTTTCACTCATTTACTTCTCATATTATATCTTTTAAATCTTATTAATCATAAATCATTATTTATAATATAATATAATTTTTAGTAAAATTCTCATCATTCTTAAATAAAAATATCTCACCTGTTATATGATCTAAAATAGGGCAATGCATTACAAATCTATCCTATTGCCATCTCTATTCAAATGGATAACAAACTAATGTAATATAAAATTGTTCCACAGATGAAAATGTTAATTTCAGAATATATAAACAGAATATATATATAATACAACACAAGAAGACGAAGATGATTACATAACAGGCGAGATATTCTCTACGCTGCACAAGATGATTACCTGCACAAGAAGACGAAGAAAGCGTGGAGAGAGCTGGAGCAGTGAGGAGATAGGCGGAGAAATGGACAGACAAATATTTGTGCTGGATATGAAAAGCCTCGTGGATATGGGTGTCAATTATTTTGTTTCTTTTATTTTTACAGGGGTAAAATTGGTATTATGAAAATATAAACATTTGTGGGTTTCTTTTCTCTCCCAATCTCTCCACTTTTGGGAAGATTGAAAATAAGGGTTATAAGAGAAATGAGTTTCTCTCCATTTCTCCCTATTTCTTCTCATTTCTCTCCACTTAAGATAACCAAATAAGGAAGAGAAATACATTTCTCTCTATTTCTTTTATTTTCTCTCCAAATCACTCAATCCAAACACAGTGTAAATCTCTCTCTCTAATGGCAGTGGCATCTGTGAACTCAGTGAAAACCGAGACCTCACAATCAATGGACTCATCGCCTTCCGGACGAGTCTCCGACGCCGGTTCTGAGTCCTCATTTTTTGGTGGACTCTCATAAGCAACAGCTGCAGATCCACCCAATTCTTCACCCAACCCTTCTAAAGACCTTGAATTTCAGGCGGTGGCAAGGCAAATCGACGACGATGGAGAGAGGTAGATCTGTTCAGAGACAGATCAACAACAACCTCAACCTCACGCATGAGCCACTTGAAGATTTGAGTTCTTCATCTTCATCGACGACAACGACACAGCATATCTAAGTTAGGGAAGGAGGCGGTGGTTCTGGTGGCAGAGCTGGATTTCCAACAACGGAGCTCCGTCGATGGAGGACTTGAGGACGGAAGGGAGAGGGAAGGCGACATCGAGACAACTTGCCTGGAGTTTGTTAGAAGAGTAAATTGGTCTATTAAAAATTAATGGGACTTGAAGGAAGAAATAATTTTTTCTAGGACTTAATTGATTATAAGTTCACAAAATGAGACTTGCATGTAAATGGCCCAAAAATCAAAAAATCATCCCAAACATTCTAATTTTTTTTACCTCATATTTTAGTCAAAAAGCCAAAAAATTATTAAAATAGCTTGTTTCCAAACAAGGCCTTAATTTTGGCCAAATTACAATTCATTTTGGTTCCAATTTTCACAATTTAAACTTTTTTTTAAATTGAATTTTTTTCAAGTGTTTGGGAAGTAAGTTGAGCTAAAACAATCTATTAAAAGAGAAAATAGTTAAAATAGTCAATAAAACAAAATATCACATTCAATCTATAACTATTTCATTTTTCTTTCACAATCATCAAATCAATGAAAAAAAATCAATTTTTTCAAACACAATTATTTTAACCATGCTAAAATAGTCAAAAAAAATCAACTAAAACAACCTACTTTTCAAACAAGGCAAAGGTTTTTTTTTTTTTTTTTTTGTATTTTTATGTTTTCACTTAATTTTTTAATATTTTCAATAATTTTTTAAAATTTTTAGTTACACTTAATATGAATACAATTATAAAGTATAATATTTGTGATTTTTTTTTTTATAAAGATTCACCAAATACCAAAAAACTAATACATTTGTATTTTTGTATATTAAAATATTTTTACAAATATTTTATTTTTTAGGTATATCTAGGTTAGGTGCATCTAAAAAGTAAAAAAAAAAAATTGCTTAAAATATTTTTTAAAAAATCACTAAAAATAAAAAAAATATGAAAAATAAAAAATTCAATTTTCAAAAAATTAAATTCTGAAAATTAGAACCAAATAAGGTTTTAGTTATTTATTAATTTTTTTAACCAAAAAATTCACCAAATACCAAAAAACTAATACATTTGTATTTTTGTATATTTATTAATCTTCTAAAGTATTTTTACAAATATTTTATTTTTTAGGTATATCTAGGTTAGGTGCATCTAAAAAGTAAAAAAAAAAATTGCTTAAAATATTTTTAAAAAAATCACTAAAAAATAAAAAAATATGAAAAATTAAAAATTCAATTTTCAAAAAATTAAATTCTGAAAATTAGAACCAAATAAGGTTTTAGTTATTTATTGATTTTTTTTACCAAAAAAATCTTTCGCCAAATGGGACTTAGTCTATTTGATCAAAAATATTTACAAAATTATATGACTCTGTAATTCTTTTTTGTATAACAAGAGTTGCATTCCACCTTTCATAATTTTTTTCTCCCAGAATTCTAATTTCTCCCCTGTCAATGCTGTTCGTCCGAGTGGATAGATCAGACAGGTCCAAGCTCCTCCAGCCCGTGTCCAAATGATCAAGCCCACTAGATAACCTGCAAGCAAGTTCAACGGGGAACGGAGTAGTCCCCCAGCGAACTCTCCGACGAGCAAGTTAGGAAGAGAAGCAGAGTGTATGGGAGAGGATTAGAGATAGAGAACTTAACCTTTTTCTTGTTTACAACATTTGCTTATATCCTTTTGCCATCATTTCGCTGTCCCTTCCGACCTGCTCTCCTTGCCGAAAGTCTATGCTGTAGCTTACCTTGCTCAGGGTAAGGGGGTCCTGTTCCGACGGAGAGGTGTCGTCGTAATAAATGCTGTGATGGACTGCATTAATGGTGATGTGTAGTGGCAATAACTTTGCAGATCTTTGTCTGCTGATGTGGCTCGTCCTCCACCCACCGCTTGTCTGAATATTGTTGGTTCTTGGTGCCATATTGGATTCCAGCTGTTCCGGACTCCATTGGCAGGGTTATGCATTGGGCCTCGAATGATGGGCTCGGGTTATTTATAGTGGTTCATGGCCTTTGTAGGCCTGTCCATGTCAGTAGTCCCCCATTCCCGAGTGCAGCTTTAGACCAGCGAAAGGAATATGTATGAGAAAGATGAGTCCGACCGGGATGGGCGGCCGAGTTGGTGAGGCGAGCGTAGGATTGTCCGACCGTGGGGAGGGTTGATCGCGCGAAGGCCGAGCGGAGGGCCTACCGGCCGAGCTAAAGGGCCGATCGTGAAGAGGGGCGATCGTGCGAGAAGGCCGACCGTTGAGGGTAGACCGACCCAAGGGGCCGACCGTAAGGACAGGCTGACCGTTGAGGACGGGCCGACCAAAGGGGGCCGCTTGTGAGGACAGGCCGATCGTGCGAGAAGGCCGACAGTGAGGGCAGGCCGACCCAAGGGGCCGACCGTGAGGACAGGCTGATCGCGCGAGAAGGCCGACCGTGAGGGCAGGCCGACCCAAGGGGCCGACCGTGAGGACAGGCCGATCGCGCGAGAAGGCCGACCGTTGAGGGCATGCCGACCGTGAGGAGGGCTGATCTCGCGAAGGTCGAGCGGGTTGGCGCAGGGCTCAAGGGGCGGCGTGGCAAGTGATGATTGGAAGTAAAAAAGACAGGGTAAGGGGGATGGACAGTGCATCGTGGCCGTACACGTGGCCACATCCCGTAAGGGGGAAGATTAGGCGTTAGATCATAAACGAAACGTTAGGTCATTGTGGGTGTTGAAGAGACGGTTTTGGCGGATGATTTTGAAAAGTTTTCAAACTGGCGAAAATTAATTGGGACCCTTGGAATACGGGCAAACCGTGGGCTTTTGGCATTATTCGATTCACCTACCTGTGTACGAAAAATCAAAATATTCCAAGTGTGAATTCCTTTGTTGCTCACAATACACCTCTGCAACACTTTTTCAATTTCCTTGTTCCTGCCGCCGAAGCGATTCGCAAACATACCACCGAAATGACCGAAGAAGGGAGTGCGATTGTCAGGGTGGACCCGCTTGGAGATGATGATGCTGTAGAGCTAGCGGCGCAGTATAGGACAGAGAGGGTGGGGGAGCCGGTGGTACGATCCCACGATTCCACCATGATAGCAGCTCCAAAGCCAATCAGCCAGGCGGAACCAGATCATTGGCACACGAAGGCTAACAAATCCACGATTACTGAGGCGGAGTTGGAGGCTATCCGCGAAAAATACCAGATCCCTGGGGAAGTGGAGTTGTTGCTACCGACATCAACGGAAAGGCCGTCTAACGCCAGGCCAGGGGAGTTTTCCCTTTATGAGGAAACTCTGAAGGGTGGACTGAGGTTGCCACTGCCGCAAGTGGTGGTGGATGTGCTTAACCGTCTGAAGGTAGCACCGGGGCAACTAATGCCTAACGCATGGAAGATCCTGCTGGCCTGTG